TAAACATAATTTTTCTAAGCATTATTAGTTGACATTAAAATATAATTGTTTGGCTATTAGAAGTGGTCTGATCTTGTTTTCGCAATTTGGTTGTTTTGTCAGGGCTACTGTTAGGCGAACCTTGTTCGAAGTCCTTTGCTATAGTAGTCATCATAATTTCCTAGCTTCGGCCGTCAACTTGGTACATTCTCAGACGTTTCGCCGGCATCGTCAGAAACTTGCTATATTCAGCATCAAGCTACACCTTGTAAAAGAGACAAATGGAGTCAATCCTATGACCAAGCTCCTGCCTAACTGTTATGCTATCACTCCTATTTCTGTCTTGGCACATCTACCTAGTCTGCTCACTCCAACCCTATCAAAACTTTTCACTTTTTTATATTCCACTCCTAACAAGGTAGTTTTTTTAAACTGTTGCGAAAGTTTTGTTATCACTTTTGGATTACGTAACTTTAAGAAACACCACTATTCTTTTGAGATTAATGAGATTCTTCACTAGGCCTCCATTCAGAATTTAGCAGAAACTTATGCTATGTAGAGGAATACACTATTTAAGTTAATATATATAAACTCAAAGCTCCGGTGGGATCTGGCCAGGCTTATTACTGGGGAAAACTTTTTATAGCTCCACGGTATGGCCGACAAGAAATCGCTTAGGAGACGTAACAAAAGTTACTTATGTATGGGATTATGATACAACATAAGTTAGGTGTCCTGACTTATGTGAGTGTATGTAGTTCGTATGAATACCAATATTTCCGAGAATCGTCACTACTCTAAGACCAAGAAAGCGCTGTGCAGGCAAGTCATTCATATTCGTTTTTGGAAATTTTGTTTTTCTCTAAGTGTTGTTCCTAGATTTTGTTTTATTGACAAAGCAAATCTGCCTAATACAATTAATCGTGTACATCACAGGGCATCCCAGAATTTAATTAATATTGGGACCCAATAAATCATTATAAAAGTACACTCCATGATAAGGAGGAAAATAAGATTTCTCGAAATTACAGAATGATGGACAGGTTGTATGAGAGGGTTTTTCAAAAGGTTGTATACAAAAATGATGAGAAGCTTAGGAATCTGGGTATACGAATCAGGACAGATGTTAATCAAAATACGTCTATTGGGGACGTTAGGGATCAAAATATAGTTGGTGAGAGTGATGAACCTCTTCAAAAGAGAATTGGACGTTACCACTGAGAAAATGCCCTCGAAAGGTTTGAACTTTGCTTTGCCAAACAGTAAGGATAATAGGGAGGAAATCCTGTTGGAACTCATGAGTTTACCGACCATTTTCATGAAGAGACTAGGAATGATAGTAAGTTAGAGGTATTTCCTTTAATAGATGGCCATATAGAAATAACACCCAGGAATAAGGTGAAAATATTATAAGGAAACTAACTGATAAGGACCAAATGGTGTTGGTGGCAGACAAAG